AAGTCCAGTCATCTTGATGGTGAAATAAACTATACTTAATTCATGCTTTAGAGAATTTTTTTTTAATTTTGTAGGAATAGAAATTTTTTAAAACTCTGTAAAACATAAAACCTATATTAACAGCAGTGCCCCTGAGAAGAATTTAGGGAGGGAAAGCAAATGTTTTGTTTCTAGAACAATATGGTGCTTAAGACAGCAGATCTGATCCCTGGATGCATATACAGGAAAGGTGTTACATGCTTCATAGTATCTGAGGTCACTTCAACAACACTTACAAGCTTTTATACCTTGTTCTATCCTCAGATTTGAAATGAGATACTGTCAGATTGGAGACTGTTCAGAAATGGGTTACAAGAATAAAAGGAAATCTGTGCTATACAACTAAAGACCAAACCAGTACATTCACCTGAGAGAAGTTACAAGCTGACTTGAAACTCTGTAGGCACAGACAAGAGGAAGATTTTGATGATAAAGTACTATTATCTATTATGCCAGAAGCAAAGGATGAGAAAGGAAATGTAATGAAATTTCTCAATGACATAAACATGATTTTCATTAAATGAAAGTTTTAAAACATTTAGTGATTACATCAGAACAATCAAAAAGAAAAAGTCAGGTGTATAGTCTGTAAAATTGAATGCTTAGTAACTTTTCATGAATTATGTATTTCTTACTAAAGGATTATCAAACCTGCACAAACTTCAACTTCAGCATTTTCTCCAAGAAGGTCATGGAATTATGTCATGCGATGTACTTATATTTTTTTGCTCCTGATGAATTCTTTGGATTCAATACATCCAAAACCCATACTAATTATTAGTAGTACTCAGAAATACATAGTGCATAGGAGGAAATGAATGATAATTTTTCTTGCCACCATTCCACCATTCCAAAGTATATACAACTCTGTGTTTAGTTTAATCTAAAAAAAAAAAAAAAAGGCCAAAATTATTTAGCTTGTAGTACAGCCAAATTTTATTGGATTTATTTGTCCAAAGTTTCTAAACATAATCTTAAAACCATATGCCAAATTTCCTGTAGCTGGTGATAAATCTCCCACAGGAACAGGTTTCAAATTGTTCACCAGCATCTGTAACAAAATATTTCTTTTTGAAACATAGGTAGGGCCTCAGTTATTCATTCTAAGAAGAGGTTGCAGGAGCAAGAGAAAGCAGAGTATTCGATTAGCACTCTGAAAATTATCACTGCTTGTGAAAGTATTTTGCACATATAAAAGTGATCATATACTCTGTCACAGTTATTCACATCAAAGCCTGAACAGTCCCACAGGAGCAACAGCAGGCTTTTGATTTGAGAGGAAATCCTTATTTTAGTTGAGAAGAAAGAGTAATGTTGTAATGTGATCCAGCGCTGACTAAGATCTGAATGTTAAGAGGTTTTGATACTGGTAATGGCCAAGTACCCTCAGCTATCTTGCAGTGCACACCGCAGCATTAAACATGAGTATGCAAAGATCTGGCAAAAACTTCCTAAGCTATTAATACCTAGTTCTCTACTCTAAGCATATTCCAGCCCACTGATAGCAGAAATGGTCAGCATACATTCCTGCCACAGCTATAAATCACCTAACCATACAATACTGCCTACAGCTTAGCTATCAATACTTGTATTTCATGACAAAGGCACTTCCAATCATAATTTTTCCAAGGAATACAAAGTTCTGGGTTCAACATTTTACCCAGGTCAGTGCTCTACAGAATCAAACATTTTCTCATTGCCAGCGGGTAAAATTTCAATGATTTCTTCAGAAATTTCAACATAACCACATTTGAGTTGAATAAGCTCCCCCCCCTCCCCCGATTTGAGTTGCTCAATATAAAGGCACCGTAAAATATTTGCTCTCAGATTCCACATAAAGCATTGCAGAGTTCTTCTGGAGACTTGGAGCTCTTTGGAAGCCAAGTATTCCACAATGGTAAGTCAAATGTTTCGATTTATTTATTTATTTATTTATTTTATGAGGCTACAGCTAGCTATTTGCTTTAAAACTGCAAAAGAAGGATATTTAAATGAATCACCTAGTTACACATTTTTAAATGTGAATATATTCTATTAAAAAACTGCAAAATGCAAAGACACCTTTGTGAAGATTATTGTGAATTTTGTTCTTTGTTTTGTAATTCTTTGCAAGAAACTCTACACATATATCTCTTAATCTTTCACTTGCTGTTATCCTTTTCTCAGAAATGTTTGTGACAATATTCAGAATTTTGTCAACATTTAGGACCATGCTTTAAAAACCTATGGATGTGAAATACAGTTTAAAATATAGTCCCTTTACAATGAAAAGTATAATACACAGTGTATTTTGTCTGCATTTCTCTTTTGGTCTATCAAGTTGTGTCCTATTTTAGCTCTTCAAGCCTCCAGATGTGTTTGCAGAATCCGAATCAACAGTTAGGTAATGCTAAATAGATAGACAAAGCCCTATGGCCCACTTTTCCTCTAATTTATGCTCACATAATCCCCAAAGGTGCAGACATCAATTACTACCTTTGATGAGAATCTCAGGAATGGCATACGTTTTACAGAAGAGGCTGTATTTTCTGTATTATATGTAGATTCATAAATAAAGGGAGAAATTATCATCTACTTCTTTCTTTGCCTAAGCTTTCCTGAGGGCTTGCCTATACTCAGACAAGACTTAGTTGAACAAAATGATCTGGTACCTCATTCCACATTAATACATTAATTCACCCATTTTCAAAGGCCATTAAACCCAGTCTGGAAGATTCTGTTGTCCAAGATGACTGGTGGCATCCCCTTTTTAAGAGAGCACACAAGAAAAGGAAAAAAAAAAAAAATTTCCTTGAAGTGCCTTGCTTACAGACCACCCAGAACAACACAAGGCTGATATTTAACTACCAGCTCTTGGCATCAGTGTAACAGTAATAATCTCTGTCATTTCTAATAAAGGATACTGTTTCTGCCAGTGCTTTCTTACCTGTTTGATACCCTCTGTGCTCAGCCTACTTTCATGTGGGCCCTTTACTGCTAACTATCTGTTGCTTAGCTGATGTATCCTTTGGTTGTTCCAGTATAAAGCCAGTTCAGACAGGGATTAGACACCAGAGACTTCCCCTTCTGTTTCTGTTTAGATTCAGTGGGAGGTCCAGAACTTTGGTCTTTAGAGAGAGGAGCATGCCAAAGTTCATCTGACTGGCATTTGTGGGAATAGCAAGATAAGTACAAACGTTGGAGCAAACAAAGGATAAAACATTCACAGAAGACAGCCCAGCACAGCAATAGAAGGATTTTAGTCTTTTCTATAAAGACATGAGAAACAGCAGCAAGACCTCTGGTAGAACTGGCCTGTGCTGTTGCAAACAGCTGAACCAGTTTGGAGGAAAGCCACCACCAAACTCAAGATGGATGATTAATATACAGCAAGCAGTATCCCAAGCATGTTGAGATCCTCTGTGGAAAGTCATGATGCTCTGAGCTCACAAAGCCCTGAATCGCTGCATAGCACAGATTGCCCCACAGATCCATGCAGAATGCAAGTGGAGCCTCAGGAGAGACCAGCTGCGATGTTCATCCTACAACTTCACAGAACAGGAGTTGCTTAGGCAATTTTCCTTTGGCCAGGCACCACAGAATAGCACAGTTTAAGAGCTTCAGTCTTTCTTCTTAACTTCCTTCATTCTGGCTATGGTGCTCAGCATGGCAACTGGCTCTATTCTACCCCAAAGCATCAGAAACTCCAAATCACAGAACCCCTATGGAAATTAAGCATTACACCCTTCCTAGATCACTCCATAGACCGTCCTCCTCCCTTTCACTAAACCATAAATGTCCCTCAGCCCTGTAAGAAAGCAGCACATCAAGTATTAAAATAGAAAGTTTTTTTCCACAGCAGACAGAGGAGATTCTACTTGCCTCCCCATCTGCCTAAGGTTCAGGACCTTTCAGTGTTTTTGACAGTCATGATTCAAGTAACCCAAGGCAGACAGCAGAGCTTCCTAAAAACAAAGTCTCTCACTGCTATTTTAAACCCCAGTTTCAAGCAGCAACAGCCTCTGGAGTTCAGAACAGTAACTTGGAAAGATCTACTCATTTTACAGTTCTTTCATGTTAATTTGCAAGTGCTATCAAGAAAATTTAAATAACTTCCTCCATTGCTTCTCAGTCTCTGTCCATTCCTAAACTTTTGCCTTAAGTTATCCAGCTTGAGCAACCCATCAAAACAACCCTGTGCTCTCTCATGCTTCTCTGTCTCTCTACCCCAGTATAACAGCCATTACAAAGTTCTGTAGGTTTTTTCCAAAAAGTCCTGATTGTTTGGCAGGTCACAGCAGACATCTCTAAAGAGCTCTTACAGGTGTTTAGCCGTTGCCACCACTAGGCAAAAGGAAGGGTGTACAGTGACATGTCCAGATCTGTGTGTGCATGGTTTGACAAGATGGCTGACGTGCAGCTAAGCAGAGTGTACAGCACTGGAATTTTGCCCTAAGATACTAATTTGTGTCTCTCTTCTCTACCCAGCCACCTATTTCAAAATACTGGAATATAATTAAGTCTGAGATCTCCACTTTTCTGCCAAATTTGGAGAAACTGCTGTACCCAAAAGTGAAGAAATGGGATGCTACAGAGAGTGATTTGCTGGAGAAATAGCTAAATCTGACTCAAAGGCAATAAATGAAGCACTAATAAGAGTCTGACAGGGCTTTCAAGTATATAATACTATTGAAGCTTTTTGTGTTTTCTAGAAATTAGACTTCAGCAGGGACTGATGCTGCTGACGCATTTATGTCATATCATTTTGTCTCTTCCCACCTAAAGGAAAAATTCATCAATGCAGTGAAATATCTTGAGTGCCCTTTCCCAGCATTTTCATATACACATAAGATTATTTCTATTTTTTGCTTCAGGTTCAGTGACTTAGCTTTTGAAAACAAAGATAATCAAAGTGGAATTAAATTCATGCCATTGCTCTGTATTCTCTTTTACAGAAGAGTTTTCTGGCTTTCCTTGTTGCAATGGGCATCATAGTGACCCTGGGTGATGCATACTGCTTTTCTAAACTCAACAAGCCAGGGGAGGCCGACAAAGGTAAGAATAGGGAAGGTCCTCTCACTTGATTGTTCTGTGGTAGCTTGTCTCTATGTGGAGCTGCCAGGAAAGGCTCAAAATACAAGGGAGGGAGGAGATATCAGAAAGGCACGAATAGGAGGTTCCAGGACCAAGTTGCCAAAAGTAGGCAAAAACAAAGTCTTCCCCTGGACTAAGTATGGTTGCAGCAATATTATTGCTATTGGTAGTAGGTTGCTATTGCTATTCCAGCACATGGAGCCGATGCAGGAGTTAAGAGTAATTCTGAATAAAGTCTGGTGCCAAGTGGCAGGCCTGGCTGGTTAGTTGCTCTCTTTCACCCCAGATCTGTCACACTGAAACTGTCTCTAACAAGTGAAGAAGAAACAAGTTCAGGCTCTCAAAATAGTCCGGGTAATAACCCGGAGAACAAAATGACTTCTACTTTACTATTGTCAAGAAAAACATTTTCAGAAAACTTGAAATAATTTTTAAACTTTTCAGCCTTTATGTGGAAGCGTAAAGAACATGTTTTGTTTTGTTGCTGTCTTATGCAGGCTGTATGCTGGATGGAAAACTATACCCCCTTGGAGAGATTGCGAGAACAGAAAATTGCTTCAGATGCAGATGCAGCCAAGATGCAATGCGTTGCTGCTCCCTGTAAGTTTGAACTTTTTGGTAGCATCATTGCCCATAGGAAGACCACAGCTTTCCATTTGCTGGGGATAAATGAGTTTCTAAGGGCACAAGAGAGTTTTTCCTCACTCATGTCACAGAGCTAGGGCAAGCCACATACAGCTCTTGATCATTTGAATCCTTGACTGTATTTACCTTAGCTCACTTTCTGCTGACTGGGAGTGGACACAGGCCCTTCCAGACACATCCAGTTGGTGCTTGCCTTTAATTTTGAAGAACTTGTGAATACCTCTTACACTGCAATTAAGTCTTTCCTTAGCGGCAAAAGTGGGGGTAGGAAGGAATTCATTCCACAAGGGAGTTAAGTGAAGCTCCTCTAAAGAGCTTATGACAATCTGAATCCCTTTCCAGAGGTGCTTTTCTCCAGTGAATATGCTGACTCTAGAGTAACAGGGCTCTGCTCTGAAGCATCTATCTCCAACATCCTCCTTTTCTCTAATCCTACCTTCTCAAAGGGCCAAAATGGCTTGATTATGATCATCGCCTTTTCTCAGGTGACACTCAATCTATCAGGAAACAGCTACTACATTCTAAGCAAATTGGCAATAATGAAAAATTAATGGAAAAGAGATAAAACATGCCAAATCACACTGTTAAGTGCTGTGCTAGAAATCCCTATGCTAGTACTGAGCATACTGGTGCATCTACACGGCACAGTGCAGCAAGGCATCATTTGAGGCCCTGGGAGCTATAGCTGTGTGGCACTCAAGCTAGCTAGGCTGGTCTTAGCCATAGTTTCAGAGATCTCTCTCAGCATTAGTTCAAGCTACAATCACTGAACCCCTGAAGTATTGAATCTTTTATTGCTCTCAATCTAACATTTGCTTTCTCTTTGCCAATAACAGCTTTCATACTCCTATTGGTTATGACAAAGAGAACTGTAAAGTTGTTTTCAACAAGAAAACCTGTGACTACGACATCGTGCAGAAAAGTGACCCCTCAAAAGAGTGTCCCGTCTATTCTCGTGTGGGCTAACAACCCACCTGCTCTGAACCTCTCTGCACAGTGGAATTGCTTTGCCATCACAGAGAAGCTTGAAGACATGGGAGAACTTGTAAGAGAGAGTACTTCAGCAGCTCACTTCTAATCTCCTAATTGTTCTAATTCAGTATACAAGATGCATAATCAGATACAGTGTCTCATTTCTGTCATTACTTGCATTGGTATCACTGAGCTTTTTTGAATACAATAAATCCAGATGAAACATCCAGGAACACTTTATAATGATGGTTCTTTCTATGTAATAACATGGGGCAATGTCACCTTTGAGAAAGGAATGTGTTCGCCTCACTACTCCTACATGCTGTGCACCAGTATCCTGGCAAAAGCTGCTCTCATGCTTTGCAGGTTCTGTTCTAGCCAAGGGTCAGAGCAGACATTTTAGCTCACCAGGTGTCAAAATCCATTATCATTTGGAAGGGATGCACTGTCTGGGACATGCTGTACAATGGCTTCTACTCAGGGCATACTTGAAATGCTGCAGGAATTTTGGCAAGACCCATGCTGCTAATGACTATGACATCCGAAAAAACCAGTGAGGATGGAAGACCATCATCATTTTTCTCCCTTTTTTTTTCCCCCTTCTTTTCAGCAGTGTCATCACCCAATAGCAGTGACTGTTCCTCTCCATTGACCGCTCTGACCTGCTGCCAGGTGTCCTCTTCCAAGCCCCGAAAGTCTGCACACACAGCGCTGCATTAGTGGTTCTTGCCCAAACTGAAAAAGAGATCTAGATCACCCCCTGGAGACATGCTTCCTCATGGTAGCAGAGCTTGAGGTACTAATAAAAAGCAGATGCCTTCTGTCTCTTCAGTATAAAAATTCCCCACATTCCCTGGGGAGAGAAGTCCAGCCAGTGATGGGCTTCAGAATAGAATCTCCCACCTGGCAATTGGTAATATCCTAAATCTGCCCACTTGTAGGAGACCAGGCAACAATACCCTATAAAATGCTCCTTCTACATGGCCTCTTTGCTCCAGAATTGAGTATTAAAAAAACCACAACAGTCTGCAGTTAATAGTTGTATGGTTTGAAAAGAAACACATCTTTCAGGACAAGTGGACTGTTTAATGATGCTCCATAATCATGACAAGTCTGTTTTCTTGTAAAAGTATGAGGTTACATACAGCTGAGCACTCTTAGGGCAGGGATCCTCACTTGGCCCAAAATAATTGTCAGCCTGTGTTTATTCAGCAGGGGTACTTGCTTCTCAAGACAACCAGTCTCAAGCTCTGTAAATCACCAGTAAAATCGGAAGGGTTTAACGTGGTATGTTTTCTCTGGCTTTGTTTTTGGTAACTTGCCTCTGAACATTGTTTTAAACTTTCTTATGGCTTCACTTGAGATACTTCCTTTTGGAAAATATCCAAGCATTTCGCAAGCACTGGTATTACATATTTCGCCTTTTAAAGTTCTTTGCACTGCAGGCTGGATATCAGTCAATAACTCTGTGTTTCTGTACAATTGGTTCCTGCAAGGCTGAAAAAAATATGAGGGGCCAGAATTAGAGTCACTTCAGCTTTTTCCAGTATAAAAATTTGCATATGTGTTTTTAAAATCTGACTTCCATTTGCTGATATAATTGTGCCATTCCACAGCAGCCTGTGGAAATGAATGTTCTCACATTGCTTAAGGTCCTAAGGTAAGTTTTCTCCAAAGAGTTTTCATATCCTGCAGGAGAGGAACAGTTTTGAAACTTGTCCTGAATGACTTTTCCCCTTTTCTGCCAGCTCATGTCAAAATTACACAGAACACAGCTTCAACTGGTACCTGAAGGAATGTTCTTGCTTACAGAACAAACAGCTGCAGCTTCTTAGGGGAAGTAAAATTTTGAGCATGGAGCTCCAAAGACTTCATACCTAAATAGCTCACAAAACTGTTTCTTGAGAAAAATCTGGTTTCATTTATTTTTTAAATCCTAATTTTAAAAATAAACATTTTCATGGCTAACAAAAGTGACTTGGAGGCTCCTCATGGATTATTTTTTAATTCAAACCACTGAGGAGTGCACACATCAAGATTAATATCCAGTTTGTTGTAGTCTGGAACTGTGTCATGTGATACTGGAATTATTTCAGTATTCCAAGATTTTCCCTACCAGAGTCTTATAAATTAAGGCTACATTTTTCTTCTAAAACTTATGAAAATTAGTTTATTATCTCATAATGTCACATTCATGTTCTTAATATTAGTAGTTCCCCAGTAAGACTTCATATTTTCAGTGATTTACAGATAATTAGTTCACTTTTAAATTAAATAGAATTTCACTCTACTTAATACCTTATTTGGACATTTATTTATTTGTTTGTTTATTTATTTATTATTTGGAGCCTTATTACCTCCTAGAACCCCAAGAGTTTCTGTAGAATCTAGGTGCCAATTTTCTTACAGATGAAGATGACTTTCTCAGTTCAAGAAGATTTCTGATTTGCTGGCAGCGCCAGTAAAAGCATGAGTGACTGAAACAAGAAATCTAACACAGGCTCTGGATCTCATGCTTAATATATTTGTTTTGGGACTGGAAAGAACCAGCATTTTTGACCAATGTGATTAGCACATCCTTCCAGGAGTTATCTGTGGGTGGGGAAGCCCATCTTCCACTGCAAGGGCACCTCCCCTACCACACACATGTACTTGAAGCAGAATCTGAACAGCCCAGCACAAACAAGAGCTGACACTGGAGAAGCAAGAAAATGAATTCTGGTGAGTTTACCAGGCAAGGAAATGTAGAGAGCACTGATCTAGAGGCTCCAGAGTACAGTCTGGCTTCACTGAGACCCAGAAATTCCCTCCAGATGTTTTAAAAAAGAGGTCTTTTAGTTTCAACATGCAACTGTATTGGGTTTTCTATTGCCAGAGTAGCTGGCACTACTGAAACTACTTTTTTTCCCTAAATAAAACAGCTTTAGCAATGAAGCTCAGGAATCTTGCATCTTTCTTGCTATAAACCAGAAAGCCTGTCTACTGAGAGGGAAAATGCTTAACAGCATTGCTGCAGGTAAGATAGATATAATTTTTTTTTATTCATGAGATGATCCAGCTGCAGGAAAGCAGGATGATGTATCACTCACCCTCTGTTCTGAATCCTTTTAATTATTTGTGTACCACCAAAGATGAGGGAAATGTGTAGGGCAGAAACATAGAGAGGCACCAGTTCAGTTTTCCATCCTTCACAGCAATGAAACTGCTTGTTGATTACTAGTCGAATCTCAGTAACTTCCTCAGAAATCCCAACAGAACCTGTCCAAATCTGAAATATTTTTGTGTTTCATTTGAAATGTTTCTTGTTTCACTGAAGAATAAGTTGTTACCACTTTTATATTCAACCCTGCAGGGAACACCAGACAGGCCATACAAGAACTCCTTAGAAACAAAACATTGTTATGAAAATAAGTCCAAATTTCAGATTCTTAAGATTTCATAGCACTCGGAGTCAATCTGTTGACAAGTATGTGATCAGAGCACCATGGCAATACCATATATGCATTTGAGCTGCAACCTATTTCACATTTGAAGGAATAACAAAAATAAAATATTAGCTGTCATTTTGTGAAAAAAATCACAAGAAGCCTGTTAACTGTTCTAGCCTTTCAGGTGCTGTGATTCCTGTTTGCTTTCTCAAAGGGGGAAAGCAATTCTCCTAGCACAAGTATGCTCTCAGTAACTGTTAAAACACTTTCAAAAAGTAGTCCCAGACATTGCAGGTTTTTTACAGCAGTGTTTCCTGGGCTTTCTTCTTGACACCACTACGTAATGCATACTATTATTATGAACTAAACAGGCCAGGCACAGTTCTGGTGAAACATGCCAGAGATAAGAGCCATAACAGCTGTCTTGATGTTGTTCTGTTCTAGTTGCTGCCCATCAGGAATAGACAGGAGGGGTGTAGGACAACAGATGGGAGGAAGCAGGATTTTATACATTACAATGGAAAACATCAGAGAAGAAAAAAAAGAGAGAAGATCCCAACAGCCAAGATATCCCATATATTTGGCTGAAGCATTCTGTGGCTGCCCTCCCCACCCTAGACTATTCTGAGTCCATGCAGCAATAATATCCAACCACTGCATTTTATCTTCATGGAATAAGTGACTAATATGAATGGAAAAAAGCTCATGTGCTCTAAATAGAGCTGAAATACAGTGTAGATGGGGTATACACAGAATTAACTGACTTTCCCCCCAAAAAGCTCAGAGGTCACTGAACTAGGTAACTGAGAGTATAAAACTGAAGTTAAGCCCCCTTTCATTTTGTGCATGCATGTGCAGGTTGTGTTAAAGATGGAAGACTGCACAAATTTAGTACCACCTGGAGGACCAAAGGCATACTTCCAATGCCAGTGTGGCCAGAGCAAGGTCTACTATTGCACCATGTAAGTTCCACAAAGCCAGAGGCACCAGTGGCAAGAACTACAGCAACACTCCCACCAGCCACCCTTCCTATAGCTAAATCCCTAAGTCACACCTCCATCAAAAAGTCTTTTCATAGACTTACGATCTTCATTTGCCTAATCAGCTGCAGGATTGGGATAACAAGCTGTGTTTGGAATCACTGTGTTTTTTCATTTCTGGAATAAACTTTTTTGTCATTTTCTGGTTCACTGAAGATTTCTAAGATCTTTTTGTTACCACATGGCTTGAGTTGATAGAAGTGTAGGAAATACCGCATTTCCCATGAATTGGAGATCTCTTTTTGGCTAGCTCTGTCAGTCCTTATCCATTTTGTTTTACTGCCTCTGGACTTTTGTCCTCACTGCTATAGTATCTGTGGCTCTCTTCCTCAGTATTACCCACACTGCAGAGATGGACGTCTCGTCCTTGCAAACACAGCCTGGCATTTGCAGTTGGTTCTTTAGATCTTCTTGTCTGTCTCTATGTCCCTTGCTTAGCACTAATCCTTCATCTGGGGATCATGACCTGACAGGATTTTCCAGACGAGCTGAGGAATTACCAAGTGTTTTTAAAAAATGCTTTTGTGCCTTAGCAAGAAGGATCTTTGCTTACCCACAGAACTAAATGGGGAAAAAAATGAAATGTTTCTCATCCTACTGAAATTGCATTGAATTAAAACTGAAATTTGGCCCAGGGATGGGGACTCTGCTACATATGGACGGAGACAGGGGTGTTCAGATCAGGGGAGAAATGACATTGTTGTCTCCAGCTTGGGCGTCCCAGCTTGAATTGAGATGTCAATTCAAATTTCTGCTATGCCACATGTTACCTGGGACAAGTGGCTCACACCATCCATGCCCCTTGCCTGTAAAATTAATAAAAGTCTTTGCTAATTCCTGTGCCAGGAGAGATCTGAGGGCATAGGCTTTGAGGCTTGTGGGTATATGAACCTCAGAGTTAACAAAAATATTCCCACCAAGGTAAAACTTCCTTCTGCCACATTTACAATATGTTTCTGTGTCAACAGTGCACTGTATATTTTAGTGCTGCTTGCTTGTGCTTTTCCTTAAAACAGTTCTCCTTTCTCACACGCAAATGTGGCAGACTTTGTTTAACAATTGTAAAACCAAAGTATATTACACACAGCATTGTCAGTTTAAGGTCAAGACGAATTTATTTGTAAAATTGTGTTTACTTATGATCTGTGAGCTGATAGGCCTCATGCTTCCTCTTGCTTTCCCCCTCTCAATGGCAGTGGTAGTCAATCTACTGGTTTTAATGACTGGATAGATGAACTTATCTTCTATAAGGAGTCCTGCACTTACTCTCTCCTGCAGAAAGCTGCTCCCTCTCAAGAATGTGAGGGTAGTACTGAAATGCTAGGTTAAGAAACAAGGTTCCTGGACTGCTTTCATTCTGGTGCATCTCTTCTAGCTTTAAGTTGTTCATAGAGTAATGCTTTTCATAGATATTAGCCAGTTTATTGGTGTTTTTAAATAACATTACTGCTCTGAAATCATGCTGTATTTCTCTTTGTTGATTGCCCAGCACTGAAAAATACAGAAGAACCAAGGCTGATAATCTTGTCTTACTTTCATTATCTCTGTAGTCCTCAGTGAGATGTAACCAAAAACCCAAGCTGAAGAATGAATAAGTAAAATAGTGAGGTAAACCTTCAGGAAAGTCCCCAAGATTTTTCCCCACCTTAGGAAGAAACAGGATACTTTGTTCATCAGCATAAGTGGAAAGAGGGCAGAGAATTAGGCAGAGCACTGATACTCTTAGAATGTTGTTAGTAAGAAGTAAACCTGTTGGGAAGGCAACATGAGATTTCAACAGAGCAGTATCTGTTGGAGATATCTGTTCCCCACACAAGCAAGGCACTTATCATCCTGCACATGAGCAACATGAAGAAACGCAACATAACATGGGCCACAACTGACCTCAATAATCAACATATGAATGGACTGTCTACATAGAGTTTGCTGCTCTGAGTGGTTTCAGCACCACAGCATCTTGTTAGGGTCCCATGAGATCACAGATCATGCAAAGAGCTTCTTTACTGTCCCTAGACACTGACCAGGCTTAGACAGGTAGCTCCCTGCTGCATTCCAAAGAAAGCTGCTTGCAAGAACTTCTTTCCATACCTGGCATAGCTCGCACCTAGAAAAGAGGGAGGGTTCTGCAATGGGAACAGCTGGGCGGTCACTGCTTCTCTGAAAAGTTGAGAGAGAGAGAAAACACACATGCGCATTGGCTGGATTTTTGGGGTTTGGAGTTGTGCAACAAATGCATTCTGTCACTCAGCACCAAACAAGCAAGTTGACTGGGTTTTGGCTGTAACAAATTCCACAAGTTTCACTCCAGTACACCAGCATCACAAATCACTATGCATCTGCTGACTTTTGTTCACATACAAGAACTTCTTCAGGATGCCTGTCAAGCAAAGTATTGCATGCAAACTCCAAAACATGCAAGATGAAAAAAATTAAATAGCTCAGTAATATTAACAGAATTAAGGCAGTGTGATTTGATGGTCCTTTTCTTTCAAACTATCTTGGAATACTTGCTCCAGATTACCTTTGAGGACACTGAGGAGCTAATACCTTGAACAGGACTCTCTGGTATTTCCCCCAGTATCATCAGCCAAGGTGAAATGGTTATTTCTCAGCACATAAACATTACAAAGAGCAGGCATGCAAAGCTAGGGCCCATCCTTAGCCATCCCACAGATGTAAATCAGTTAGGTCAGGCAGCATAGGAACAGGACATCGGAAGGGAGAGACTGAACTCTCCCCATCTTCACTGCAACCAACACAAAAGGCAGCTTTGGCCTAGGATCACAGTGTATTTGTTATCCTACTGAGCCTTTTTTCCCCCTTTAATAGAAAAATGCACATGCTCTGAAATACCTCCTCTGAAACACTGACACACAATGATGCTGTTAAATTGGCTTCATGCATATTTGTGAGAGATCCAAAGGGGATATGTGGACTCTGTTGATGCCAGTAAAAAATTCCCAGTGCCTGTACTCATGGGCTGACATGGTTTTTTGGTTTACCAGTGATTAGGAGTCAAGGGCATGAGCCATGTGGCTGTGGTGTTAGTCATCTCCTGTTTCAGGGCAGTGTATACATCAGCATTGCCAAATCTAACTTATTAGTGATGGGCTGACTGTGGGCACCTTTATCAAACCTATGAGCACCTACAAACACTTCAGCTCTTTTCTGCCATCCTGAAGAAAGTTCTGGTAACTGAAGAAAAACCGATTTACCCAATCTACTGAGTTGAAAGCCAGCTAAGTTGTCCCTGTGAGTACTGGTCTCACTGTGACCTGCATTGCAATAATGCTGGCTTTCTCACATGGACTTCCTGAGCTAGCTCTCAACTCTGGAGTTTTGATAGAAGATGTGGAGTAGCCACCCCAGCTTGGACTTCAACCTCTACTCCCAAACCCACACAATAAGGCAACACAATTAGGCAGTCAGAGTAGTTAGTTCAGGTATTGCAAACTGTGCAGCCCTGGTAATAAGGGGAAGACTTCTTCACCTACCAGGGCTACACAGTTTGAAATATTTGAAGCAACTAGATCAAAGCTAAGCAAAAGGGGACTGTACTCGACTCCTTTGCTATCAAATTACTGTCCTAAGCACTTGGAAAGTGTCTGCCCAACATGTACAGCCTCTGCAGAAAAGGAACCATTTCTCCCTGGCCACAAGGATTAAGGAAGAAAATATATGATGTCTATTTTTTCACAGAGGACCTGAGCATATGGGTCTTCTACACATGATGGAAAACTGAACAAGGAGGAAAATGGTTATCTAGGTCCCTTTTCTAAGGGCCTACAGATGCCAGCCACTCTCCACAGAAACTCTGCTTTACACGTAACCCTTCCAACCACCACTCCTTTTCCACAAGAGCCTTCTTTCCTCTTCAGCTGGTGAACAAGCAAGCTGAATGATTACTCGAAGTTCCTCTCTTTTAAAACCTAGATGGTTCAAACTAAGCATGCAAATTTCTTTGTGAGTGACAACCACAATGTCTCTAATGGGTTTCTCAGGGCGAGTGCTAAATATTCCTTCCGGGCTTGAAATTTCTTTCAAAGTACCTCCCATAACTGCCTTCCAGATCCAATGTGGCACAAAAGCCACACCTATTTCTTCAGTGCCTTTTAGAACCAAACGTTCCTGTATACAACTGGCTTATTTTAATAACATCCACCCCATGAGGTCATTTTGCAGAAACCTCATTGGAGTTATTCATGCATGTTCAGTCTGCTCAAGGACTGGTATCATACATTCCCTCTCTATATAAGTTCTCTGAGAAGATGTGCTTCCTACAGGCCATGTCCTTACTGGAAGCCTCATAATTCTGCAAGAATTATGAGTCCTTACATCTTATACTGTAAAAGACCACGGTATGTTGCTATAGATTTTAAAGGAGGTTCTGTTGGTTTTATCTCAGTACTCACAGATCTAAGCAACTTGGAGAAAGTGTAAATTCTGTGTTTTGAGAGCAAAAGTCAGGCAGATAGGCACAGGCAGATAAGAACCTTGGGTAAAATATATCAGCATGTATATGGCAGGAGATGTCTAACAGGACTCCAGCTAAGGCTTTTTATTATAACCTGTTTTCACTTATATGTAATGTTTGGAGATAATCTCTTTTCTGGTAGAAAGCAGCTCTGTTGTGTCTCAACCTAGAACTGGCCTTCATATTTGTGAAAAGTCTAGATAACATCTGAACATTTAGTTAAACTCTAAAACATGATCTTGATTTTTACTCATTTGCAGCTCTGTGGGTTTTAACCTCTTCTGCAAAATAAAATGCTAGTTTTTCCTCCTCTCATCTCTCAGGTATAACTTCTTTTTATAAGTCACCAGTTCTACTCTGTCCAAAACAAACACACATATATATAATGTGTGGGTGTGTGTCATTGTTCACTCCTGGTCTACCTTTCCTCTATTACCAAGATTTTAAATTCATCACAGCTAATTGCATCCTAGAGTTCTTGCACTTATTTCCTCCATATCCCCAGTGAAAGCCCTTCAAACATTTCAAGCTAATATTGAATGATAAGAGACTAGCTGAGGAATTTAAGCTGAACTCTCAGAAAAAGCTGCTGACAAAGGTCAGAGAATATAGAATTATCTAGGTTGGAAGGGACACCTGCAAGTCCTTTGGTCCAACATTCTGCTCAAAGGAGGACCAAGTCTTGAGTGTTCAACTTTAGCTAAAGTTCTTCAGCTTGTTCCTAATCCTTCAATATTAGGGTAAAACATCCAGTGGGTTCTTCAGACTCCAGTGAAGAAGTTTTTACAATTATGAGTGAGGTTAGTGGCAGAGGCAGTTGGTGACCAATCCTACGAAGAAAATAACGACAAGAAAAATGAATGGGGAGGGGAAAGGAATAGAACATACTTCTTTCACAAACAGTATCTGGGTCTACCAGTCCTGTAGCAGCCAATGCTTGATTTTAACAGCTTGGAAAGACTTTTTTCCCCTCCCAAATGATGCTCTGCCTCTGCTTCTTCGAAATGGTTCAGTATTCCTGATTGCATGTTAAAGTATCTAAACTGTAAAAGACAATTGGATTTTGATTTGAAACCACAATGTATTTTCCCATTTCTAATGGTAGTATTTATCATCAAGACATCTTAATAGTTACTTAAGTATTTGTTTGAATTCTGCTTTCTTGTTCAGAAAGCCATCTTGGCCTGCCTTCTTGTTCTGACCATTAGCATGCCACTGTCCAATGCTTATTGCTTCTTTCAGCCATTGAAGCCAGAGATGTCTGACGGTGAGCATGACGGTGAGAAGTCAACTGTCCTCAACTTGACAGACATCACCACAAGCACTGCCTGATTTGATTTGTCCATTCTGTGCAATCAATCACAATTTAGAACTAAGTGGAAACAGTGGAGAGAAACCACTAGGAAATGGGGGTGGGGTGGGGGTTGGAGAGCAGGGAATTTATAATATGTTATAAAAAAAGAAGAGTTTACCTGAGGAGCATCACAGAGACCAAATTACAAATGAATTTTGTCCAGGGAAGTAGCATAGGCTTAGTTTATCCATCTGCATGAAGTAATAATTCATATTTTCACAATAGCAGTGTATTTAGAAATACAGAGAAGGGAGGAGAAGGGCCTTTCTCTATGTATGTGTGTAGTCAGTATAAAGCAGGAAACTGATTGGCAAGTATTCAGCACACTGATCAATTTACTCATTGTTTCCCTATCCCAAGGCAAATTCTTAAGAACAGAATGGCTGCTCCCCTTGACTCTGGGACTGCTCTTCCTGAACACAGCTAGTCTATGAGTCTACAGATGAATGGAGCTGCAGGAAAATAAGTGCTCAAAAAAGAAACATGCAATTATTTGGATACAAGAAGAGCTGATGTGTGCCGGTATGCAAAATAAACCAAGTGCCCCAAAATACAGCTTTTTCTGGGAAAGCTAGTGCTACTACTAGAAAAATGAGTTACCATTGCCAAAGAAACAGAACATATTTACAGGCAAAGACACAGCCTAGAACCCCCAAATCCTCCATTCCATCTTGTCTCATCCTGATAAAAATCCTGCTTTCCAGTTCACTTATTTAGGAAGTCTATTCTGTGACTGTTGGACAGGAACTTTATATACAATATGTGCTTTCTTCCTGCAGCTGAGGATTAGGAAAAGTTTTCCAGGCAGATCTAGTCTTGCTCTAAATGATGAGTCAACAATAGTTGGTGTTAATGACAGGGGAAGTCAAAGCCTTTTCTTAATTCTGACCAGGTCTGTGCCTAGTTGTCTTTCTGCTGGGTGCTCTGATTCCTGTAATTAAAGATGAGCTATTCAGGGAAACCCGATGCTGCTGAGAACCACAGGAAACAGAGCGATTCAGGATACCCTTCTCCATGTGTTAGAATGGTAGCAGTGCTGCTCTGTTCAGGAACCTCCGTGTTTGCCAGACAGGGATGTTAATGTAAAGAGCCAACAAAGATCCCACCCATTTTGTACAAGCAATAGCCTTGTTAGTGTAATAGGTCTGACACTGAAGGCTATTTGCACACTACGTTTTCAGGCTGCCGTGACTCAAAAGGAGAGCTGCATGAATTCGATTCCCACTGGAGAACCGACGACTGCCATGATTGCTCCTGTTCCAGGGATGGAATTGACTGCTGCTCCAGGTGAGTTCAGAGCAGCAGTGGGTTTTTCCTCCACTGCCATGATACAGCACAAACCACTTCCCTTCACACAGGGGTCCCTGAGAAACAGCCCTGACCCTTCTCTCACTCACTTCATGTCACAAAACCCAACACTGTTGTCACTGTGCACGCAAGAAGTTCCTCTGACTAATATAGCTCATATTTAACAAATTAATCTTAATTAAAAAAAAGAAGACTTAATTCTTCTTGGGGCTAAAATTGCAGGCAAGATACTGATTCAAGAGAGAACACGCAGTTATGTAAGAAATTTCTACTGGTCCTAATCCAGATCTTCCCAAAGAAGCAGCTCAAGGTATACTGGCCTGCCTGTAATTTTTCCTATAGTGACACCCAACCACTCGTGCAATTCTTGTTCCATACTGTGGTTGAAAAGAAAAAGCAATGACATTGGCATAGCAAATAAACACAACAAACATCCCCTGAGTGTAAATCAGATCAGTAAACTACAACTGTCCCCTCATCCTGCTTAAGCAGAGACTAAATAACATTTGAGCTGGGAGCTTTGTGTGAGCTCCCTTTTCTGCTCCTGAACGCTTCCTCAGTATAGCCTCTTCATATTAAAAGTGCAGATGCCATCTGAAATGGAAACTGTTCACTTCTTGGTGTCATCACCTCTGTCTTTCTTTTCCCAATGACAGCTTTGCAACACCAGCTGGCTATAATGAAGACAAGTGTGTAAGTATTTTCAACAAGGAGACCTGCACTTATAAAGTAGTGGAGAAAGATGATCACTCAAAAGAATGCCCAGTCCATAACTGGGTGGGCTAACAGAGCAGGATTGTGGATTTGGAGGATATTTCCTTTTTTTTTGTTTTAAGGGTTCTCTCTCTCACAAATTCAAAAACACTGAAAAATGCAGCTGTTGAGTGAAATCTACTCATAAAACCTAACGCATAATAAAACTGAATATCTACTCACAAAAGACTCCCTTGTTTTCTCTGCCTTCTGCTTCCCCATGAAGAAAGAACTGACTTGTTCCTTCCTTGAGATCAGAAATTAAAGCTGACATTTTTTAGCATCCTCAATAGCTGTTAATTATTCTCTAGTCACGCTTCAGTGCCAGGGAGTATATTCTGTTATCTGTGCACAGCTGTATCTTAAAGCTAAAATAAAATCAGATGAAACATCAGAAATTCATGTGACTGATTTTCTTCTTTGAGGATGGAAACTTAAAGAATTAACATTCCAAAAAAACATGGGAAAGAAATGAAAAGCAACTCAAAAAGATCTTTCTGAACACTCTCTTTTCTAGGACAATGTCTTATTTGATGATCTTTTGTCCTATATGGCTCACTGAAGCCCCCAACCTATGGACTACAAGAACCAACAGCTACCCAGCCTAACCCAGCACTATACTTCCATTGTACCCACATCACAGCAGACCCAGTCCTCAACCTGGGGTTTGGGTAAAATAAAAGGTCCTTAAGAACTTCAAGTTATTAAATTAGTCAATAGGCAGGATCTGGACTGGGCTCAAACAAGGAAGAGTTTGGCAAATCCACAGACAATAACTGAGAGGGATACACTTGCCAGTATAAGCTCTCCCTAGGAGCACTGCTTCATAATCTTTATGGGTACATTTGTTCAGTCGCCTCTTTCGACAAGTGACTATGAACATCCTACGTCTCCATGCTCTATTCCCCCGTAACATAAAGGGCATGTCAGAGCTTCCATAGTTCCTCATTTCAGATTGTGGAATGAGCACATACCTTGTCAGTAGGGCCCAGTTCTGCTGTCTGCAGGGGCAAGGCAAACCTCAGCTTGTGTCAGTCTTGACCACATGTGCTCCAGTGAGCAACGCAGGACCCTAGGACTTACACCGCAGTGTTTTATTCCACCTCTGCTTCCCTTTCTCCTTCCCCAGGAAGACAACCCTGTTGGTTACACTTTTTTTTTAATTGACTGCCACATGCCCTCTTGGAAGAGGACCCACAGTAACATACTTTATACAACAGTTTACATGCCAAAGCTGCTAATGTCACTGTGCAAATAGACTAAAGGAGTCACAAAGCCCATAAGGCACTTACATGAAGAGCAGTAACAATTATATCTACTGGGAAAAAGGTAAGAGGGCTCTGCATGATTTGAGCTGCACCTGTCCCACTTTCTTCTTTCTTGGCTACCAAAACCTGTGCAACACTGGTTGAGGTCTTGTGCTCCCCATCAGACAATGCACAGGTGTCAACAGGCTGCCCAGGAGCACGTGCAAGATTGGGTTGTAACCGAGCCGATATTCTTGTGAAGCCCAGGAAGATGCCGTATGTAGAAGTTCAGAGCTTAACACCCAAAATACTAGTTTGAGAACAAGGGATACCTCTTCCCTCATCATCTTTAGACAGTGGGATTTTGATTAAGTACTTACCATAGCTAGCTTGACAATTTGTCTGTTACAGCACTCATTCATTTTGTAGTTTACCTCCAAACTCACCTGAAACTGACTGCTGAATTTTTATTTTTTTTTTCCTAACATCTACCCATATTTGAAAGCTACTGGGACCTGCTTATGGGCTATTTATGCAGACAGTCAATTATAGTGCAATGTAGAACAAGCTTTGTAACCAACTATTTAGGCACATTATCAGTTTCTGTCTTGAACAGATATCCCTTAGTGGTAAGGAACTATTTCACAGGACCAGTCAAAAATAAGATCCAGAGTTCCTAATGCTATTCAGGAAGACTACAAGCTAGAGAATACAAAGACTAAAAATATAACAGTAACCAAAAAGCAAAGTGCTTTGAAAGCAGGGGTATAAATTTTCACAGTATTTGCAGAGACATTCTGGGTTCAGTATGGTATGGAGACACATGCTTCTGAACCCTGAATTATTCCTTTTCTGCAGTACCATAGCCCAAACTGAAAATGTTGATGAGTCTGGAATTGTGACCTGTGTTTGAGTGAAGTTGAGCTTTGTGTTTATGGTCTCTGTATATAAGAGATCACGTTCTGTGCAGTCTTCCAAAAGAAGAGGTCTTTTTTCTCCTTCCTGTCATCTTCCTCCCCATCTCAGTTAATTCCTTTTCTGCATTACTGAAGTCTGCTGATTTATCATTCTCCCATTGTTCTGAGGGCACCAGTCTTTTTCTGTTCTGCTGCAGATCATGATCTGATCTCTGAAACAGAATGAAATCCACTGAAATCCATTTACCTCTGAGCTTCTTGCTGTGTGCTTAAGTTTGCCAGTTTGAGTACTCTCAAACAGAGTAGAAGCAGGTGTAGCATCCCATTATGTACTCTCTGAAAATTGTCCAAGGACTGGGAGCATTACAGCTTCTGAGTTATTTCAGATGGACTCTACCCAAGCGTCAAGGCTATGAGAGGAAGTTTAAAAACCAGGCCATTATTCTATCTTGTATCTTACAAGTGCCATCTGTGTACAGATAGGATTCATGTTCTCAGACATGAATCTTGCTGTTTACAGCAGGTAGAACATTCAGATTCACAGCCTGTCCCAATACCCAACAAAGAGGAGTAAAAAAGTTTGCCTGCCAAGAGGAGATAGCATTTGCAAGGCCATCCTGTTTTGCTACAGCAAAACGGAGTGCGGACAGATCATTTTGGAGCTTGTGTAATAGTCTTCAGCCTTTTTTATACAGCATAAAGGAAAGATTTTGCTCTGTGTTATTGCCATCCTGGCAGCAGATGCAATTTGAGCCTCACCCACAAAGAGGAGCCCATCTTCTTACTAGGTTTGTTCTTGCAGTAATAAGCTGCTTTTACCTCAGACTCCAGCTCCCTAATTGGTTTAATCCAGTGCATGTGCAGGCTGTTAGTTTACTACTTGTCTCTAGCTACTGCCTTCCTTATTCTAGCACTAAAATTTTGTTTTCCAGTGTTCTGTTCCAACTCATTGCTCTGGATGACCAGACCCAGCCCCTTCAGCACCTGCCAAGGATGCTCAAGTTAGGTTAGAACCATTTTGGAACTGCACCCACATACACACAATTCACCTACCACAAAGCACATGTGTTTCTTGGGAAAACTGTCTGACAGCATGACTGCAAGCAGAAATACTAGCTTGCCTCTTCTGCTTCTGTTTCCCACTCTCACTTGCCTGGAAAGCTCAAGACTTACCATTCACAAAACAATCTATCCACATTCAGTGACGTTGCTTGGGAGACACCATCCCCATTAGCATGAGCCTCTTTATGTCCGTTTGCAAGCCTATGCTAAGAGAAAGCATATTTGAAAGCATCTTCTAATGACACCATGCCTAGCACAGTCTCCAACACTTCTGAGTTGAGGCTAGAGGACTTGGAAATACTTTCCGAGAAAATACTGCACCATGGTGCATGGAAATTGTAGGGTTGCTATTTCTAGTCTCCACCAAACGAGGTGACACAGGAAGGGCAGCAGCATGGATGGAGGCAGTCTTTTTACAAGGGCCTGTAGTGATAGGACAAGGGGTAAAGATTTTAAACTAAAAGAGGGTACATTCCAATTAGGTACAAGGAAGAAATTCTTTACTATGAGGGTGGTGAGACACTGGAACAGGTTGCCCAAAGAAGTTGTGGATGTCCCATCCATGGAAGTGTTCAAGACCAGGTCAGATGGGGCTTTGAGCAACCTGGTCTAGTGGAAGGTGTCCCTGCCCATGGCAGGGGGAGCAGAACTAGATGATCTTTAAAGTTCCCTTCCAACCCAAACCATTCTATGGATGTCTTTCTGTCTGCAAGAGACTTCCAGGCCCAGTTGCAAGGCAAGTCCATAGAGAACACCAAATCTTAAGTAAGCTGTGACCAAAGACTTACTTTCCTTTTTAAGGCCGAGTAGACATATGCACCCAAATTCCAGAAAAGCCAGCCTGAACCAGCACTCCTATATGACCTTTTAAACACATTTTAAATGTGTTTAAACACCCAAGCACCTTTCTCCACCATCTGCCAAGTCTTGTTATGATATGCAGATCTACCCTGTCTGCTGTGCAGAAGTAAGAAAGATTCATTTCATGTCTAATCCAAAAAGCCTCCAGGGAGCAGTCTGTAAAAGCAGACTTTACTCTTGACTGCTCCAAGTTTCAACATGGAAACAGATGATGTTACCTATCGCATCTAGTTTTGGAACACCAGAAGCACAGCAGGGACTTGGCTTCCGTCTGTAGCAAGGAGTCTAGCTATGGGAGGATGACAAAAGTCTCAAAATTGAGAAAGCAGAGACAGAGTGTACAAAGCTCTGCTTTGCTCTCCCCACTTTGTGAAGTGATGTTTTGTTTTGGCATTTCACTACTTCAACATGCACAGCTACAGTCCCATGTAAAGAATACACCCTTCCACCCTCAAAGCTTTACATCATAGCACCACTAGCTCCACATAGTGGAAAGGAAACATTCACAGAAGTTTCCTCAGTTATCCTGACACATTAAAGGTTTAAGAGACTCTGCAGAATCTTGGGAGGCAACACAGCCCAGGCAGAGCAGAAGAAGTTGCATGCTCTCTTCCCCCCAGTTTCTCTCTCTCCACCTGGTAGCACACAGCGCTCCTGCTAGCCCTCCTAGAAAGAGAGGCTGTTTTGGATAACTCCCAGTAATTCTTTTCAAGGCAAATCTTTTGAGTACTGGAAAGGTGTTCTTGCCCTAAAAATGAAATCGAGTGCTTAGCCTATCAACTACCAAGTCTTTTAAATCAAACATCACAACACACATATAAATCTGGTGGAAGTTTTCCTATTAAATAATGTTTATCACCTAAAACTTAACGGTTTTATACCCATTCATGTTTTGTTTCCATTAAGAATTTTTGCCCCAATCTTAAAAATAAAATCCAACTTAAAC